TCGTGCGTCGTCGGTCTACTTCAATACGGCCTTGTCTTTTTTTACGTTTCCCGTGATGAGCACTTGTAAACGCATTTGAAACGAAACGGCATTTGGCGAAAAATCACGATAAAAGCTTATCATCATGATGAATCGTTTCAACTCTTGTGCGATTTTTGGTGGTTCGAGTGCCAAAATTGCTGCGACTTTTTCTGGGTTTGGTTTGATGCCTTCGGGCGTGACGATGTGACCCAGAAATTTTATCTCGTTGACGGCAAACTCACATTTTTCGGCGTTAATTCGGCGCAGTCCATAATCTCTCAGTCTTTGGAAAACGATTCGAATGTGCTCAATGTGCTGTTCGTATGTTTCCAATGAGATGAAAATATCGTCGATGAATGCGAAAACAAAATCCAAGTCTCTGAGCACTTCGTCGATTAGTCGTTGAAATGTCTGTGATGCATTTCGCAGACCAAATGTCATGAACACAAATTCAAACAATCTAAATGGCGTTATGATTGCTGTCTTTGGTATGTCTTTCTCTTCGATTGGCACTTGATGATATGCTTTGCGTAAGTCGATGCGTGAAAAAAACTTCTTATCGTGCAAATTCGATGTAAAGTCTTTCAAATTGGGCACTGGATATCGGTCGGGTTTGGTGATCGAGTTCAGTTTTCGGTAGTCGCCACACGGTCGCCAATCGCCGTTCGATTTTGGTGCCATGTGCAGTGGTGAGGCGTAATTCGATTTCGATGGGCGGCAAATTCCGAGTCGGATCAGTTCGTTGAACTCTTTCTTTGCGACGGCCAATTTTTGTGGATTTAATCGACGAGCCTTGCATGCAAACGGTGGGCCATTCGTTTCGATGAAATACGTGACGTTTGCTTTTTCTTTCACCAAAAATGACGGTTTATCATCGAGCAATTCCTTGAACTCAGACAAAAGAAAACTGATTTTATTGTTAGTATCGATAGCGGTTACCTGCGGTACCAATGACGTGACAATTTCGCTCTTTGAGGATAATCCGGTCTTTGGGTCGATCAATCGTTTTCGTTTGATATCGATCAACAATCCGAATTCTTCCAAAAAATCAGCGCCGATTATTGAAGTCGTGACGTCAGCGACAGTGAAATTCCATGAATATACGCGTGGCAATCCCAATGAAACTGTCAACAATCGTTTGCCATACGTTTTGATTGGTGTGCCGTTTGCAGCAGAGCCTGTTATTTCAAATTTTTAGAACATCCCGATTTGAAAAATAAACAAATGACATTTTTTTGTAATGGGAGGGGAAAGTTAAAACACAATGTTTACTGCGAAGCTGCAGATACATCTTGATTGGGATTTGTATCGGATTGACTTTGAGTAAGCGCAACAGCGGCATTTGCCTCAGACATTTTTGTCAATAGTTCTCACGTAGTTTCGAAGAGCAAAATAATGATCACAACTGCATTCAAATGATTTTAATGAACAAATGTCCGCAACTAAAATTAATATGCGATTGGTGCTCCAATTTTTCAAAGTTTGAATGTAAGCATGTCTGCGTTTATTTGGTGATCCAAATGAAATTCAGCAAGACAATTGTTTTTTTAATTTGTCGTTGCACAGTCGAAACATTTTATTCTGCAGAAGTAGCACTTTCGAATAAACAACTCCGATGCTGCAGTTATATTTTGGATAAACAAAAACATGTGGATTGAGCATGACAATTTTGCAATTTATCAATTTCAATGCGGTATCAACAATTCGCGATATACACCGAACCTCGGCCAATAGACGTAAGATAAGAAAGCAATAAAAAGGTTGAATTCTTGGAATCGATTCATTATTGAATTCAAAGAAAACCTGGTCAAAATAAAATATGAACAAAGCTAACAAATTTATCGACTTTCTACAACATAAATATCCACAAAAGAGTGTTGATTTTTATACTTTGACATTGAATACAGTGTTTGAACGTCAGATTATAGTTCTCACGTATGAAACAAGTAACATCCCGATTTTCAAATTAGAGCAGCACATTTGGAATCAGAACATCCCGAATCGGGTAGAAGATCCCGAAAAACAGGCTCTGGTTTGCAGCGTAGCAATTGGCATGCTCTTCGTTGTATTTGTTGTTCGTATTTCGCCAGCTCTCTCTCATTCGTTGTGTTGCTTTCAACACAGTTTTGTCCGAACCACAGTCGATGAGAAAATCGTGCTCTGTACTGTTGTCGTGTATGAATAGTTGTTCCGTTGCTGGCTGGAGTATCGATGTGTGTGTCGATACTCCGCATACTAGTTTTTTTTAAAAAAGAGCATGGTTCGCGACACTTCGTTGCTTTTTCGTTGTATTTGCGATGATACCAACACACAGCGATGGCAATGATTTTTCAAACGAACTACCGTTGGAAATGCTTGAGATCGATGATTTTTCCGAAACTTCCCACATATTATCTGCCATTTTAGCCAAATCATCCAATTCGTCTTTGGACGCTGCTAACACCGACCGAATTGTGTGGCAAACGTTTAAACCACAACTTTTTGATGAATTGTGCATCGTTCACCGTTGCTAGCGATTTGATTTTGTGTAATGCCTGCGATGGTTCATGTCACCCAGCGGTTAACTTGAAATTAACTTTTCGAATTTTTCGGCGGCCGACTCTAAAAAAATTGTAATCAATTCTTTTTTCAACTTCTCGTAATTGCCATTTTCAAACAGTTTCATTATCATGTCTTTGACACGTAGCGCGACCGAGCTCGTGAGATGTGAAACGGTGTTGAAATATTTCGTTTTTTCCGATGTAATTTGCCGCGAAAGAAATTGTGCTTCAATGATAGCAAACCACAATTCTGGATCAGCTTCAAAAAACGGAGTTAATTTTATCTCTGTGAATGCGTTGATTACGGTATTCGGTTGGCCGACGGCATTACCACTCGATGTAGCATTTTGACTTGCGTTTGTCATTTGTGCCTTAAGGGCGTCGAAATCACTTTTTAATTGTTCAAACATTGCTTCGTCGAACGGCATTTTTGTGCTGTTTAAATGGGCTACAGGGCATAACTTCCCCGGTCATAATTCCACCGAATTTCGGACAAAATTTCCCCAAAATCCAAAAAAATCTATGGGGAAATTATGTCCATTTTCAATTGGATATAATTCCACTGACTCTTTGGTCATAATTTCCCCGAGAAATTATGTCCATATGCATTTGGATATAAATTCTTCTGATATTTGGACATAATTTCTCAAATCAAAATTTTTTCGATGGGGAAGTTATGTCCAAATCTGAAATGGAATTATCATCTCCATTGGTACATACATAAACCATTGGTACATGCATAAAACATTGGGACATCGGCATATTGAAGAAGAGATGGAGAATGAGAAATGTGACGATTAGCCCAGAATTCTTGGAATTTTGGGTCGGTTGGAGTAAACGCAACACGACGGTATCACCGTCGGCACCGCGTGCACCTCCAATAGATCAATCGACACATTTCTCATCCCGTTGTTTTTTTTTATGAATGCGATGATATTGAGCACTTTCACACTTCAGTCTGAAGTAACATGAGTGACAAGCAAGTCAATTTGTGCTAAAATTTTGAGTTTTTTCAATCAATTTTATTTTTGTTTCGTGTTCAAATAAAAAAAAATGGTTGAGCCAACAAAATTGCGCGTAATCGAATTACGCCGAGAGTTATCGGACAGAAATTTAGAAATTGGTGGAAAAAAAAGTGAACTCATTTCTCGCCTCCAATTCGCGTTAGATAAAGAACGACGAGTGCAGCTCACTCAAGCAAGTGAGAGTGCCACAAATCACGATGAACGTAATTCAATCTCAATTCAAGAAGGTGGTTCAATTAACGACAACGATGAAAATGATGCAGACCACGCATTTCGTACCCAAGCATTTGAAATCTTAATTCGCGAAAACCATAGTGAAAATAGTGTGAATGGTCCAAGTGAACCAACCGTGGTTGAAATCTCTGAGGCTGATAGTTCAATTGACGAAAGCAATAATGAAAATGATGCAAATGATGATGATAATAATTTCATTGCGGATATCAGTGAAGTCACATATGAACTTATGCAAGGCAAGTGGGCAAACAGCGAAATTCTCTACTCAAAAGAAGAACGACAGTTCTATGTGAAGAAGAAAAAACTCGCTAACGGTGTTGTGTCTCTAATTTGCCGCACCAGCGGCTGCAAAAATCATTGCTACCTTGACGAGGAGAATAAAAAGTGTTCATTACCGGTGCCTTATGTGCCGCATATTCATCCTACTAAAGAAGAAGAGTACAAAAGGTTATGCGTTTTGAACAAAATTAAAAGTGATTGTGCTAACCCGAATATTGTTGCAAAAACAGAAACGAAAACTTCTGTAGTGAAGTCAATTTTCAAGGAAACAATCACCGAGAACGAGGATTCGAGCATTCAATACCATCGCATCGAACGAACATTGCGTCGAATCGCCAATAAAACTATGCCAGCTGCACCGAAAACCATCGATCAAATCGGGACGACGTTTGAAAATGAGCATGTGAATCGACTGTATGGCCAAACTTTACACAAATCCGATACCGAAAAAAATCAGTTCTACAGAACCACACACGTATCTGATGAGTATGCCTACTCAGTGTTCGCTTCACAGCGTTGCATTGATTTGATCGAGGCTCACTATCAGGTCAATGAACGGAGATACAATATGGACGCAACTTTCAAAGTTGTGCCGCGACTTTTCTATCAACTTTTGATCATTTATTTCGAAACACCTTCTAAGCAGGTAAAATTTTCATTTTTAAATATAATAAAATTGTTTTTCATCGGATTTTTTTTCATTTTCTCGTATCAAAATAGACCGTACCGTTCATTTTCGTACTGATGACCCGAAAGACAGAGGAGAGTTATCGGCATATTTTTAAATACATTGATGAAAATGTATTTTCACTGAAGTGCAAGTCATTTATGACCGATTTTGAGCTCCCGATGAGAAACGCCCTCAAGTCCGTTTACCCAAATTCTGATCATAACACTTGCTGGTTTCACTTGACCCAAGCGGCCAAGAAAAACATGTCGAAGTTGAGCACACTATCGAAGTTAATCCGAAGAAATGATGAGGCACGCACGATTTACAAAAAATTATTGGCGTTGCCACTGCTGCCAGCAGATCTCATAGTTGAGACATTTCACAAATTGAAGACTTTGGCTCTATCAAAATTCAAACAATTCAAAACGTATTTGGCCTATTTTGAGCGACAATGGCTGCAACGGGTATGTTTTTTGTTCTATTTTTTCTAGTTTTTTTCGCATATTATTTATTACAATCCACGTATTATTCAGATTTTTTTTTCAAAATATTTTTTTTTCTACAACAGGAAGGGGCCAACAAGATTTCGGTGTTTCTTCTCATCACACGAAGTCAAGCTGCCGTGGAGGCATACAACGGATATCTCGGTCGAAAAATCATTGCCCACGCTAATTTTTTTGTGCTTATCAACGCCTTGCGTGATGAAGAATTCCACAAAAGCCGTGAGTTTGGCCTGCTTCTTTCGACCGCTAACCCACCATTGCAACGACGCCACTATCGCATTCGGGATGAAAAAATCCGCAAGATAAGTGAAATGTTGCAGAAGAAGCAAATTGATGTTGATGGTTTTCTAAATGGAATAACCTGCCCTGACAACAACATTTTTAGCGACGAGCACTTTGATTTTTTGGACGATGGTGTTTCTGATGATGAGGACGAAACGGAGCCAATTGCATCCAATTCAATCAGTTCAGGAAGCTCGGCAATCTCCGGGAAAACTTGTGTGATTTGCCTCGAGGCAACCAGCGATGTTCTGCTGTCATGTGGGCACTACAAGTATTGTTTGAGATGCTTCGAGCTTGAGAGAGCTAATTTCAACGAAAAGTTGGTTGAACATCAGCTATGCCGGCGTGACATTGAACCCACATTTAAATGTCCTCTTTGCCAAGCCCAAATAACGAGCCACATGCACGTTAAAAAAATATTTGTTGATTGAATAATAATTTTTCATAAGAATCAGATTTGAAATTTGCTGGTGTTTCTCACCTTGAAAATTGTGGCTCAACTGAATACGAATTTATTATAAACCCTGGTTTATTCCATCTTCAGACTATTTTATTTAATAAGTACCAAAGATTTGTTTAGATTTAGACGTAAAACTTTTCATTGATTTATTTTTTTGTATGCAATAAATCAAATGATGACTTTTGCAGTCATTATGCCGTCGTTGCAATGCTAAATGCTTCTAATAGCTTTAATTCTTTACACGTTTACAAAAGGCTATTTGAACCATTGGCAGTTTGACGGCCTTTTAGGCAATTTCTTTATCTTTTTATAAACTTTTTTTTAATTTTTTGCTTGGCGGTGAATAAATAAAAATAAGTTGTAAACAAAAAAGCGGTGAAAAAATAAAACAAAAACAAACAAACATTTTGGGCCAAATTTTTTTACATTCAATAATAACGCTTCAAGTGACGCTAATTTCATTATTTATGTACAATTATTCGATGAAAAATACGTGGGGAAATTATGACCATTTTCAATTGGATATAATTCCACTGACTCTTTGGTCATAATTCCCCCGGGAAATTATGTCCATATGCATTTGGATATAATTTCTTCTGATTTTTGGACATATTTTCTCTAATCAAAATTTTTTAGATGGAGAATTTATGTCCAAATTTGAAATGGAATTATTTTCTCCGTCATTTCGGCCATAAATTCTCCATTCATTTTGTATGAGGGAAGTTATGACCGGGGAAAATATGACCGGTCACCTTTAAATGTGGCCGAGTATCAAAATAGTCATTCGCGTCGAACGATATATTGGCAAACATTCGGTTTGAAAAATCGCGTTGTTGTTGTAATTTACTGTTCTTTTCGTTCGTCGGGGTCACCAATGTGGGTATTTCAAAAGTTAATGTTTATGAAAAATGAATTTACACCAAATTTTTTGTTTCTCCAAATAGTTATGACTCTTTTAATGAATTCAAAAGGTAAAACTAGATAACAAAATTACTTAACTGATAGTAAGAAAATGAAGAGATTAAAAAATTGAGTTAGGATGAATCGATTTACAATGCGTATGAAAATGATGTTTTCATGAGAGCGTTAGTTCGGTTGAGCGGTCGAGATGAGAAGAATGAGTCTACACAAGAGAAACAATCAAGTGGCTGTGAGACGGTGACAAGTGTGCTGCTCACGCACACACTTGCATTCACCAAAGTGAATCCGAGTGTGTGTGGCTGACACTTCTCGCCACCGCACGGCGAATTTAAGAAATGACAATTTAAATTCTATCGTTAGGATGTGCTCGCCACACTGTCTTTCCATTGGTTCCTGCAGCCTCTCTGATCGTCTGTACAAATAGATAGGAAACGTCAAACAAGAACAATAAAGCGGCACCTGGCGACTGGATGGAGAAATAGAGAATCATGCACATAGTTTGCTGTAACAAGTATGCGTCTGTGTAAGTGCGTCTGTGTTAGTTCAAACGTTGAAAGTATGACACGTTGTACTTAGTCCCCAGGTGCCGCTGTATAGGTTACTATTTTCATGATCAGAAAGGCTGGGTTCCTGGCAGTTGGAGTCACATTGTTTGTTTCTAGGGGCTTATTTGTCGTCACGAGTCAGCAAGACTCGTATGATTTTCATGTAAATTAAAAATTATTTGCGCTGAATTGCAAGGAACTCGCACTGACTCGCACCAATTTACGGAGATTCGTGAAGACTCGAACGAATTCCTACAAATATATACACAAGTCATAGCATAGAAAGTGTATGGAATTTATAGCAAATCCGCGAGTCGATGCAAATCAGCTTATATACACATTGCAAACCATTCGGATCTCAGCTTGTGTTCTATAATTCTTTTCTTATTCTGTTTAATAAAGGCAACTGGAATGGATGTGAATTGAAAATGAAATGTATTAAATTGACAATGGAACTAAGATCCACGAAATGTTTTATGAAACATACGAACTGCACTTATTTTTGGAATGGGCAAGTCAACCATTAATGATTTATAACAAGATTTGCCATACATCATATGAATATATGTGGAGAATGACTTAATGTGTTCAGTGTAAAAAAAATGCTTCGACACTTTTATTTTCATCAGATTGAATTGTTTGAATGAAGCATTTTGATGGATTCGGGAATTGTGATAAATCCATTTTGTGTTCAAATTCACGATTTTTTAGTTGATCTATATAACTTGACATATTCCGTATGAAGATTCGATGCGCTGCCAAAAATTTGGATGGAATAATATTTTCATAAATAGATTCAACTAACACTTCACGATTTTCGTTTATGAATTCCACCAATTTCAGCGATATTCTCTATGTAAATAAGAGCCAAAGTCGATCGACAAGCAAAGACTGTTTTTTTCTCGGGATTTCATTACCCAAAACATCAAATACATTGTTGTCTGCCTTAAAAAAATAAAAAACATTTCGAAACCAACCATTTTAAAATTTTGTATTAATTTTAATTTTCTTGCAGTCAAAATGTGACAATATAAATGTTTTTAATGACAAAAAACTGATTTAGTAGTCGATTATTGAGTGAATTGTGAGTTCAACTGGCATGCTCGTTGAAATTTCATAGTTTCGTTCAGTGATTCGCCAATTTATATGAGAGACTCGTGAAGGACTCATAAATGCTTTTGCACTAACCGTAGTATATTTCTTTTTAGGAAATATCTAAACAATGATGCAAACTAGCTGTATGTGATATACGTAAAGCATTTATGTCACAACTAACAGCGCCATCTAACATCGTAATAGAATTATTCCAATGGATATTTCTTTTTTTATTAGCGAATATTCACTTAAAAAGTGTAAAAAATAAAAATTGATAGATCAATATGTAGAAACTTTTAATTTGTGTGAGATTAATATTTTAATATTGTAGAGAAAAATTTAAAATTGAAATTATTACTTAGTCACTTCACTTGTGTACAAAAGTTCAAGTTTTAGTGCTTTGGGTAAAGCTATTGAATGAACGTTAGCAACTTCTTGTATGTTTACATTCGATGACAGCTGTCAGTGATACATTGAAATATTTACGGGGTTATAACGTAAATGATGTTTCCACTCGCGAACAATATTTATATAGTAATGTTTTCATAAATTAAACATTCCTGTGGCATAATAATAATTCCAGACATGGATTTTAATCTGTTAAAACTACGGTGAAACTGACTGACTCAATAAACCGACTGACTCAGTAAACCACGGTTTTCAATGACGTTTAACAAATGAAGAAATGAATTTTATGATATTCTATCATTTTTGCAAGTATGCGATG